GAATTTTTGTGATCGTAATCTTACAACTAATTATTTTAACACTGTGTAGTTTTTTTAATACAATTCCATTACCATGTATTTAAATGTTCTTCATTTTTGCAATGCTACCCCATCGTTCGTGCATCACACGGGGAAAATTGCTAGTAAACTTAAATCAATAAATATTAGCTGTGTATAATAAATAGTAAAAAAATTGTTTGGGCCTTAAATATTTGCAGGTTGGGGACCATATATATAATTATATGTATGCTGTTGTCGTGTATCTTCAGAAATAGCCTAGTGTTAGTGTATAATTTTTATACAATGGCAACAATTCTTGTAATTGGTAAATTAAGATAATAATTATTACTGATTGAGTTGTCATGCACATACAATACTAGTTACTTATTAAATAATAGATATAGGTAAATTCTAAATCATTGATGATAATAATGGATATATAGTATTTTTGGATTTATATATATTTTACGATTAGAATTGTTTGAATGCAAAAATTATGATAATAATTGTTGAATATCTTCACATGAATTATTAACAAGAGACGCCAAAAAAAAAAAAAAAAAAAAAAAAAAAAAAAAAAAAAAAATCATTTTTTGTTCAAAAAAGGTATTCCTACACACAAAATGTATTTCCCAAACTTGTTAAAAATTAAAATGCTTGTTGTTATCTCACTAAATTCCTCTGTGATTTAATTTAACGGGGAGTAATAAATAGGGTCTTTCTAATGTGAGATCACATGTGTTCCAAATTTATATGAGATATGTATTAATCACCATTAATTTTCTAAGATTAAATCTGAACCCTAGGAAAATAACATGGCCTATGTTCTAAAAACTGAAGTACTTTACCAAATTATCCTTCGATTATTTTTTTATTAAATTAATATAAAATTGATTAACATTGAATTGTCTAATTTACCCCCTAGGCCCCTACTATATTTTAATTAAATAATTAATTTAAATTCATTGTGACCGAGTTTTATTTGATAAATAATAAAACAAAATGCATTCATTAGGGATAAAACTTGGGACATCTTAATACATTCATCACTCCTAACCTATGGTGCACGGACACGGATACGTGGACACGGCGATACGCGGATATGGACACGGTGATACGGCATTTCCAAAAAACTAGGATACGGACACGTGGGGATACGCGTAAATATAAAAAATATAGGGGTATATTTATAAATAATAAAAATATAGGGGAACATTTATAAATTGTAAAAAATATGTATAAGTCGTCATCGCATAAGAGAACCACTCGCCCTTGTTGCTCGTGTTCTTGATCGCCGTCGCATACTAGACTTTTGGAGTTTTTGGTGGACTCACAAAGAAAACAGAGGAAATGTGTATTACAAAGAAAAGAAAATGCGCATTTTTTTTTTATTAGAGCTCTCCTTTACAATGTAAGAAAAGTGTCCCAACTTTTTAAAATTGTGGACACTGCACGATACGGGTGTCCTACTTTTAGCGAAATTACGACACGGCCCGACACAGGTGTCCGAGAAGTGTCCGGGAATATCCGAGTGTCCAGGTATCGGATACGGGGACTCTTCACCTTCTAGAAGTGTCCGTGCAGCATAGCTCCTAACCATCCAAGCACATTAACTTATTATGTATATTTAACCATTGTATAAATATTGTTAATTAAAATATTAATTGCAACATTCATTATTATTAAATGATATTAAATAAATTATTAACAAATTTAATATAATAAAGTTTGAAAAATATAAAGAATTGCAGTTCAATACGCCAAACATCTATCATTAATTATATAATATTAGAATTATTAATAAACTCCACCATTTAAAAATGTAAAAAATGCTCAATTAAATATAAAAAAATGCATAACTTAATTCAAACTCACTTATGTTATTAAATCGATAGTGTGACAAATCCAAACAAAAAATAAAATAATATGTTTATTTAGAAGAAGAAAAATTTATAACTCATTCCAATTAGTAGTTTTCTCACTTTAAAATAAAATTATATACTATAAATACTATATTGTGAATTTTCTTTTAATATTTAATTTAATCAAATAGTAAGATTTGAATCGATTAAGTTCAAATCCTTTCAATTAGTAAACATTATTCAAATATTTGAATCGGTTGCTTAACTATTGACATAACGTGTTACATAATTGATTTAACTATTTATAAGTAATGTCTAATATCTTTATAATTAATTTTGTCATAAAAAATAATAAATTTAATTCCTTGACATGTAAGAACCTAATCATAAATCGTAATATTTTATCAAAACGTAATATTTGAACCAATTAAGCTCAAGTCCTTTAAATTTGTAAACATTATTCAAATATTTGAATCGATTAATTAGCGCGCTCAACTATTGACAAGAACGTCTTAATCAAATTAACTATTATTAATTAAAGTGTAATACATTTTTAATTCAATTTTATCATAAAAAAATAATTCATAAATTACGTAAGAATCAAATCATAAGATTAATTAAAGCGTATGATTGAATCAATTAAAGCGCAAATCCTTTTAATTGGTAAATATTATTCAACAATTTGAATCGATTAAGTTCAACCACTCACAAGAACGTATTAATCGAGTTAACTATTTATAATTAAAGTCTATTATCCTTTTAATTCAATTTTAACAAAAAAATATTAATTTAATTCGTAAAATCGTAAGAATCACATCGTAAATCGTAAGATTTAATCTAACCATGAACCGATTAAATCTTACGATTTTTACGAATTAAATTTTATTATTTTTTATGATAAATTTAAATAAAAAAAGATACTAAACTTTAACTATACGTAGTTTGATTAATACGCTATTGTAAATTATTGAGTTTAACCGATTCAAATATTTGAATATTGTCTACGAATTGAAATGAGTTGAGCTTCATCGATCAAATATTTGAATATTGCTTTTGAATTGAAAACACATGAGTTTAATTGATTCAAATATTACGATTTAATTAAATCTTACAATTTACGATTCAATTTAAACTTCATATTCTTTCGAAATTCATTTTTAAATTACACGAGTTGATCAACATTTCCTTAGATTTTTAAAATATATTATATAATGATTTGTTAGTATGGGATATTATTAATATATAATAACAATTATATGAGAATTAATAATTTAACATTATTTATATAAGTTTATAACCATTATAAATTGTAGCTTTGTGATATATATCCGTATTGTTAGTTTATTGTCAATTATGTGTTGTGTTTTAATGGTAAGTATTCGTGTATGTTTTCAGATGGTCACAAGTTCGAATTCAAGTTGATGCAATTTTGGATTGGTGGTTTAATGATTTTTATGAATAATGATATAATTGACTTTATAAATTTTAATTCAGCATATATATTTAAAATTGCATTAAAACAGAGAGGGTAAAATTGACATTTCATTAATAAATTATAATTGCCGATTTTTTTAAAATAATTATTGTACAAAGGGTATTTGCGACAATACATAAATGAGGAAAAAATAGGTTTTTTTGCTGGGAAACATGTCGCAATTTGAAGGGAGTATCTCATATAAGTTTAGAACACATGATCTCATGATAGAAACACCCAAATAAATAGTACATATACATATATAGTAGTTATAAATCGTATATATGTGTGTGTGTATGTTTTAATTTATATTATTTTAATTAAAATATACATATACATATAAACATACTGATATAAATATACATATAATATATGGTCTTTTCCTTATGCTATTATTTTATGGAATAGCTCATAAAATAATTTAAGGGTTTACAATGCTATCCAAATCCCTCGTAAACTTTTAGCCCACACTGGTATTTAATTTTAGTTCTAACACTGTATATATTTGCTTGAATAATTTATTTATTATTTACTTTTTTCAGAAAATATGCTTGAATAATTTATAAATGTTGTAACGATCACAAAAGAATAAAAAGTGAATAGGTATGAGTATATTAACTGAAATGTTACATGTCAGTTTCAATTTTACTAATATCATTTTGACTTCAAACTTGATTTTGACATATTTTTATTTTGATTTTGGCAAAATTCGAAACACGGAAACTGTAGTCTCTTGGGTTAGCTTTCTAATCCAATTTAAATCCGTTAGATTGGATGCCGTGTGACAAAGGTTATGCATGAATGAGTCACATTTTTTTATTTTAGATACCTCAATACATCAAATTGTTGTGGGCAGTATCCATTGATTTATGTATTTCTTTCTCGTCCGACATCCAATTTTGGTGATTCAAGTTGGATTAGAAAACTAACTCAGAATACTACAAATTCTCTTTTTCGGGTTTTGCAAAATTTGGAATTATAAATGATCAAAATGACGTTTGAAACTGTACCGGTATTATTAAAGCTCGAACGACATTTATCCCATCCAGTATATTAATTATACATAATTATTTTGCTCCTTCAAACCTAATTATTTTTTTCTATTGCTACTCTCTATATGGTGCCAAGTGCCAACCTAACTACTTTCCTTTTTTGTTCCTCGCTGAAAATCATTTATTCCCAATTTTGTTTTTTTTTTTTAATTTTCCACACGTATTTACTAAAGAATAAATAAAAGTTATATATGTCTACATACAGACTACATCTTGCATGTATATATTATATAGCAGTATGTAAATATAGCAGTTAGCACTCGTGGTTGGCAAGCTAATTATATTCAATCTACCAAATAATTGACATAATAATAGTATACTGTCTATGATTACATATATTAGGTAAAATAAAATAAAATTGAGTATATATATATATATATATATATATATATATATATCTGTAGCACTAGGTTTACTTGATATAGTTTCAACAACCATCCCGTGACTAGGGTTAAGCCGTGACGCAATATTGATTATTGAAAAATGACCTAATTCTTTTGATCATTTTCTATACATTATTGGAAATATTATTACACATCTTTAATTTATTCAATTATGTATCCTCACATAGCTATTGATATAATCTCTCTATATAAATACACAATTCACCCCCATAGTGAAATATCCATAGCAAAACACTCTCCTAAATACACACACACACACACATGCACAATGTCTTCATCTCATCATAACAACTTCTCATTCTCTTCAATGGCCATAACCCTAGTTCTTGCCTTCGCAATCCTCTTCGTTTCTCCATCCGTATCCACTTCCCGGACCTTACTCGATCACCCCGATGCGAAAACTGGCTTTCAGGTAACCCTAAAACACGTCGATCACGGCGGGCAACTTCCACCCAAACTAGAGCTCCTACAACGTGCGATGACGCGAGGAAGAAAGAGGATCGAGAGGCTCCATTCGATGGCCCTAGCCTCATCTGATGCCACCATCGAAGCACCCGTTCATGCCGAACACGGCGACTTTCAGATGGACCTGGCTATCGGAACCCCGCCGGAAAACTACTCCGCCATACTCGACACCGGAAGTGACTTAATTTGGACACAATGCCAGCCTTGCAAGGATTGCTACCCCCAATCAACCCCGATTTTCGATCCCTCGGATTCATTCACCTTCTCCAACGTTTCGTGCGCTAGCGATGTCTGCAAGGCTCTCCCTGAGCCGTCTTGCAATGCCAACTCGAATTGCGAGTATGAGTACGCTTACGGCGGTGGTGCGTTTACACGAGGCGTTATGGCGACAGAAACATTCACGTTCGGCAACGTTTCGGTCCCGGACATAGCTTTCGGGTGTGGAAATGACAACGAGGGCTACTTCGACAACGCCGCCGGGATCGTCGGAATGGGCCGGGGTGAATTGTCATTGGTTTCCCAGCTCAACGAACCCAAATTCTCGTATTGCCTACCATCATTTGGCTCGACCAAGACTAGCACCCTCTTGATTGGGTCTCAAGCAAATTATCAAATCAACGAAACAACCCCAATGATCAGAAACCCTAAAATCCCTTCTTTCTACTATCTTTCACTCGAAGGGATAACTATCGGCGACAAACTTTTGCCAATCGATCCATCAAATTTCGCACTAGGAAAAAATGGGAGTGGGGGGATGATAATCGACTCGGGCACGACTTTCACTTATCTCGAGCATACCGCTTTCGATATAGTCAAGAACGAGTTGATCAAGCAGATAAAGTTGCCGGTGGTCGATCTGAGAGAGACCGGCCTCGATTTGTGCTTTAACATAACGTCCGTGGGCCCCGATTTCAAGGTGCCTAAGTTCGTTTTCCATTTCGAAGGTGCCGATTTGGAGTTGCCACGCGAGAATTACATTATTGCTGATTCGAGTGGTACTGTGGCTTGTTTTACTATGGCAAGTTCACATGGGATGTCCTTATTTGGTAATGTGCAACAACAGAATATTCTAGTGATCTATGATCTTGCTAAAGAGACTATCTCGTTTGTACCTACTCAGTGTGACAAGTTGTGAAAATAATATTAATTACAATTTAAATAAAAGAAATTCATTTCGTTTATATTTGCTTATTCTGCCTCAAATTTATTAAAATTAAAATTAAAATTAGATTTAAAAAAATAGATTGTTAATCATTTTGTTTTTTTGGATATGGACTTCTCTTAAAGAGAAACTGGATAAAATTTGAAGCTTATAAAAAAAATAATAGAGATAATTTCAAAAAAATATTAAAAAATCGGATTAATTGACCAAAATTATAGTTATAAATCAATATTAGTTCATATTTATAAGATGTATTTATGATTGATGTGAATAAATGGACATAATTTTATTTATAGAATGAGAAATAAAAAGATATGATTAAGAAAATATTTTATAACTTTCTAAGTAAGAAAAAAAATAAAGGAGTTTTTATGTTTTTTTTATCCGATTTTACCCCGGTTGCTCTAACTTAATCAACAAGATCATAACGAATAGGCATGGTGGCCGTATGACTACTACTCATTAGCAGTTTTCGGAAATATTCACCCGAATGAAAAAGATCCTGTGAAAATCACACCGTAAGGGGGGTCGGTGTAAGACGAAACCAAACGTCAAGAGGATTTTGGTAACTACGGATATGTGAGGGAGTTTTTCATAATTTAGCATAAGTTCAGGGTTTTTTTGTAATTTACCCAAATAATTATGTTTTTATCCTTACAGTCATTGAAACGTATTTTTACTTTTTACTATTTAATTTTTGAGTTAATTAATGGAAATTGATTTAGATGCACTTAATTATTTGGGCTTTTAAAACTCTATGGTAGTCAAAGCCTTTTTTAATTACAAGATCGAAATTAGGGTTTGCCCCTATTCGTTTATATTAATAGTCTTTTCAATTTCGTTGTTGCTCTGATTTTTTTTTTTCCGATTAAATTGAATACGTTCAATATTTAAGGTGAGTACTCTGTGCACTGGTGTATTTAATTTAATTTTATTTCGTCTTCTTTTTATTTTAATGTAATAATCTGAATTTGTTTAGTCTTGTATGTGTTCGAATTTTTTTGGCTTTTAAGACAGAAACATATAATTTATTTTTCATGTTGTATATTCGACCAATCCGGACAAAAGCTATTTCCATGTTATAAGTTGGAATTTCTTGTCTCTATTATGTTCTTCAATGTAAGCTATCTCTCTCTCTCTCTCTCTCTCTCTCTCTCTCTCTCTCTCTCTCTCTCTCTCTCTCTCTCTCTCTCTCTCTCTCTCTCTCTCTCTCTCTCTCTCTCTCTCTCTCTCTCTCTCTCTCTCTCTCTCTCAAGTTGGAATATGAACTCAGGAAGAAAGAAAATGTCTTCGGTTCCAATACCGAACGATGATGGGATACTTCTAATGCTCGTACAGCTGAGAGAAATGCTGCAGAAAATAACGGAATCAATGAGCAAAGATACCGTAGATATGCATGCGGTCGTGTCTCTGACCTACTGCGTTATGGTGAGGGCTAGGGCTGAAAGTCATCGATCGGATCGGAATTAACATTTTAGGAAAATATTCAAAAAAAAATCGGAAGTACAAAATCAATTCCAATTCTAAGTCCAACATGTTTGGAATCTAAAAATTGATTCCAACTCCAAAAGGTCCGGAAATTTCGGAATTTCCGAAAAAAATCGGAAATCACATAAGTTTCAAAATTTCAAAACTTGGCGGAAATTTTCTGAATTTTAATAATTTTCGAAAAATAAGAATATTCACGTCGATAAAATTAAAGTAATAAGTACTAAATTTCAGTTCAAAAAAATAAATAAATAATAAACCACATTATAATCCGAAAAAACTTATAACAACAATCAATATGTCAAAATTCTAAAACAAAACTTAAATCAAATCAATGTTTAAAATAATAATAATAAATAAACTGAAAGTAAGTATTATATAATATATATTATTTATAGTTGTATTTTTCGGAAAAAAATCGGAATTTTATGGAATTCATTTTGAAAATTAAATTGGATCGGAAATTGGAAATTATATTCCAATTAATTTTTTTTATGATTCCAATTCCAATCCAAAAAAAATCGGAAAAATTTAAAAATCGGAATTTCGGAAGTCAGAATGAAAAAAGTTATTCCAAAATAGCAATTTTTCGGATCGGAACCGGCGGAAATTGGAATTTCCGTTCCAACTTGCACCCCTAGTGAGGGCTAACCCGGACAAAGTGGGCCCCTACCCCGAATTCGTCCGGGCCCACGCCAAGAAAATGATCGCTCACGATAAGCATGTAAGAGCGTACGTCATAGCAGTGGGCCCCCACCCCGAACGAGTGAGGGCCCACATTGAACTAGTGAGGGCCCACATTGTAATAATGAGTTATCCGGAGGTATTGAAGGCCCGCGCAGAAAAAGTGACGGCTTACATGGGAAGAGAGAGCCCGTCATCGGAACAAGTGATCATGGCTTGCTCCGAACAAGAGAAACGAGTGATGGATTGCGCCACGAGGTTGAGGGATTACCTCGTGCACATGAGGGATTACCTTAAGAATGTAAGGGTTTTGCTCGATCTTTAGATGGGCTCCACATGTTACTGATAACCTCTTTAGCATCATCAATTCTCATTGCGTTCGGAGAAAGAAAAACATAAATGTTGCACCCATTATTTCCTCCTATTTTCGTTTAATTACAAAATAAAAATAGATTCAAGGCTACTTGGTTCAAACCCGGGAAATGTGGTAAGTTGAACCGGTCCAGGAAAGGTGGTGAGTTGAACCGGGTTTGAACCAAGTAGCCTTGAATCTATTTTTATTTTGTAATTAAAGGAAAATGGGAGGAAAGAATGGGTGCAACAAGCAATTTTTAAAGATTGACATGTATATAATATAATAATAAAAAGGCCTTGAAACGAAAATGTGAGGGTTGATTTTATAATTACAGGAAAATGGAAGTAAAGAATGGGTGGTGCTGGTGCACGCATTATTTTAAATATTGCCAGGTGTATAATATAATAATAAAAAAGGGCTTGCAAGTCCCTCCATGCTGAATGCGAGTCGACGCACCTCAGCTAGCCGGAAAACTGGAGCTTCCTCGGTGGGAATTCGTCGCTTCAATTCCTTCGATTTTTCGCCGGCAATCCACGAATGCCAAAAAAAGAAAACAAACAACAACAAAAAAAAACTTTTCGTTTAAATATCTTATCTCCTCCCATTTTATTTTTAATATTTATTTAATATCTCATCTCTATCTCTTTGTTTTAAGGAGTTATTGGTGTTTAGTTTCATAAAACACAAAATATTAGTGGATTAGTCTCAACTAACAAGTGTTTGACAAAAATCCAAAATTATAGAGTAAATTTGGATATCCAAAAATGCCAAACTTGCCGATATGAGACCACAATTTGTTGCAACAAATGAGAGGTACGTCAACGTGAAACATCCAAATTTGTCTTTTCAAATGAGGAGGTTACCGTCTTTGTAGCTTCAATATATGGCTCAACAACAAATGCAACCTGTCTCAAGATGCATCGTATTAGAAGGAAAAAAAATTCAAGTGATGATGAAACGGAACATCTAACCATTTAACAGAGTGCTAAATCCTGAGGCATGATATGATATCCTTGTCTTTTGCTACACATTTGTAGTTTAGTTCCTCTATCTCCATGGGATTCAAGGTGTTTCTACATCTTCTTTTCATGAGCATTGTCCAACCGTTCACAAGTCGGAAAGACGTAGGGATTTCATCCCGGAGCACGTAATAATAGGTACCTAGGCCAGGAAATCGAATCATAGCAAAAATTTGTTTTAAAATATAAAAATTTAAGTCTAGTAATGCAAATAACAAATTGAATAAGTAGAGTAGGAAAAAAGTCGAAAAGAACATACGTGCAATGGCAGAAAGGGTGCTGCAAGAATCTTAATCTCTTTCGTCAAAGTATAATGTATGTTTGTCAGCAAACTAGCTTTCCATGCATATGAATCAACATTCACCACATCAGAAAGTAAGCGAACAAACATCACTGGCACAGTAAATCTATTGCGATGCAATGGATGTATGATATAGCATATTATGTGCAACAGATACACCCTAGCATGTCGATCTAGAGTCTTATCATCAGCATCTTCTAGGACATCCTAATAAGGTCTTAATTGATGCAAATCTATGTTGATACCCTTTTGTCCGCCAAACCCCAAAAGTTGCATGTTTTCATATCTGTCCAGATTGATTCTTTATCTTTGGCCAAGCAAAGTGCAAACCGACACAAGTATATGCCGCAACTGACCACATCATCCTGCAGGTGAGATGGTATGCTCATCAACAATCGCCGGAAAATTCAATTGTTTCTTTGCTAGGAAGTATTTGTTGTAAAAACAAGCCTACAAAAATATTAATGTATTAAGTTTATGAGAAAACATGTGAATACATTTAAAAGAAATCTTCAATACTAGAATAAGTACTTACAATTTTTTTAACAATGGAAGTATAGTTAGAGTCTTTCAACGAGTTCATGAGGTGGAAGCATTTCTTCTTGGTGTTCAACACAACCATGAACCAGTGTCATTTAGAGACTATGGGTATGAGGATATACCAAGTCTCTCGCACATTCATCTTGTCTAGTTGGTTGAAATATTTTTCCATGCTATTTGAACTGGGCTTAATCAGAAAGTTCATGACGTGGAAGCATTTCTTCTTGGTGTTCAACACAACCATGAACCAATGCCATTTCGAAACTATGCGTATGAGAATATACCGAGTCTCTCGCCCATTCATCTTGTCCAGTTGGTTGAAATATTTTTTCATGCTATTTGAACTGGACTTGATCAGAAAGTTCATGAGGTGGAAGCATTTCTTCTTGGTGTTCAACACAACCATGAACCAATGCCATTTAGAGACTATGCGTATGAGAATATACCGCGTCACTCGCCCATTCATTTTGTCCAGTTGGTTGAAATATTTTTTCATGATATTTGAATTGGGCTTGATCAGAAAGTTATTCATATTATCATCAGTCCACTCGCTCAAACTCTGTTTTGCATCTACACTTAAGATTTCAATCTACAAATCATAAAAGAATAATTGATTTTAGATATGATTTCAC